CAAGTGGCTGGAACTACAGGCATGCACCACCACACTCTGCTAATCTTTTTTGATTTATTATAGAGACAAGGTCTCACCAAGTTGCCCAGGCTGGTCTCAAACCCCTAGGCTCAGGCAATCCTCTTGCCTCGGCCTCATAAAGTGCTGGGATTACAGGTGTGAGCCACTGCAACCAGCCTGTCAGATTCCCTTAACACTGGCCATCTGGCTCTCTAACCAAGGGCAGAAGCAGTTTCTCAGAGGTAGCTATTGATAATTGTTTTACAACCCCTCCCCAGCTCACTTTGTACTAATTATCTTTTCTATTCCAAGTTAACCTAATCAGCCCCTCAGCCCTTCATGACACAGACCCCATCACCATGGCAACAGTCATGTGACTGACCTACACATCTGCCTGCTGTCTATCACCTGACTTCCATACCTCTGCTCACCTGCCCCTTCATGATGATGTGAAACACCACCACCCAATCACCTTAATGACTTGCCCCCATCAAAGGCAAGGTTTAAAAGCATTCAACTGCAGGCAGCCATGAGCCATTGCTTTGCTAAACTCTGGTCTGGCCATGTGGCTCTTTGAGCTATGGCTGCCATGTTTTCCTAAGCTCTGACCCCCTCCCCTACCTTGGGAAGATGGATCCCCCTTTTCTCTCTCTCTCCAAATTACTTTCTCTCTCTCTTTTTTTTTGAGTTGGAGTCTGTCTGTCGCGCAGGCTAGAGTACAGTGGCATGCTCACGGCCACCGCAGCTTCAACCTGCCAGGCTCAGGTGATCCTTCTGCCTCAGCCTCCGAAGTAGCTGGAACTACAGGCGAGCGTCACTACAGCTGGCTAAATTTTTTGATTTATTGTAGAGACAAGGTCTCACCAAGTTGACCAGGCTGGTCCAAAACCCCTGGACTTAGGTAATCCTCTCACCTCGGCCTCCCAAAGTGCTGGAATTACAGGCTTTAGCCACTGCGCCTCTTCCCCAATTTACTTTCTAATTAAACTGTTTTCCAATCTAACTTCTGTGCAATTCTTTGCATCTTTCACACAGCACTGATCGTAGATGCTTCCTCTGGTCTGACCTAACATTCTGGAGGCCCCACTGAGACTGGGTCTGACTTAGCAATGGCTTAAGTGGCTCTGTAAGTGAGAATGCCGGCTTCAAGTTTAGGCCTCTGCAGCTGAAAGAGAGGAAGGAAAGGAAGGTCACTTCTGCCTTTTACTTAGCATTGTTTTGTTTTTGAGTCAGGGTCTCACTCTATAACTCAGGCTGGAGTGCAGTGGCATAATCACAGCTCACCACAGCCTCAAGTGATCCTCCTGCCTCAGCCTCCTGAGTAGCTGGGACTACAGGCATGTGCCTAGCTAATTTTATTTATTTGAGTTGGAGTCTCACTCTGTTGCCCAGGCTGGAGTGCAGTGGCATGTTCACAGCCACCGCAGCCTCGACCTGCTGGCCTCAGGCAATCCTTCCGCTTCAGCCTTCCAAGTAGCTGGAACTATAGGCGTGCATCACCACACCCAGCTAATCTTTTGACTTATTCTAGAGATGAGGTCTTGCCATGTTGCCCAGGCTGGTCTCGAACCCCTGGTCTCAGGCAATCCTCCAGCCTCAGCCTCCCAAAGTGCTGGGATTACAAGCTTGAGCCACCACACCTGGCCTCTAATTTTATTATTTTATTTTGCAGAGACAGGGTCTCACCATGTTGCCCAAGCTGATCTCCCACTCCTGGGCTCCAGCAATCCTCCTGCCTTGGCCTCCCTAAGTGCTGGGATTACAGGCGTGAGCCACGACGCCTGGCCAACTAGTTTAATGCAGCGTTTCTCTTTAGGTACAAGCTCCAGACATCTTCCATTGTTCTTTAAAAATACAAGTTCCAAAACTACTCCCTTTATTTTTATTTTTTGAGTTGAAATCTCACTCTGTCACCCAGACTGGAGTGCAGTGGCCACTCCCAGCCACCGCAGCCTCGACCTGCTGGGCTCCGGCGATCCTTCCACCTCAGCCTTCCAAGTAGCTGGAACTAAGGCGCGCACTACCACGCCCGGCTGACTTTTTGATTTATTGTAGAGATGAGGTCTCGCCAAGTTGCCCAGGCGGGTCTTGAACCCGCAGGCTCAGGCAATTCACTCACCTCAGCCTCCCAAAGGCACGGGATTACAGGCTGAGCCATCGAGCCTGGCTTATTTTTTTCTTAAAAGCTTTTTTTCTCCAACTATTCCCTTACTTTACTTTTTGTTGGGGGCTGGGTGGGAAGATATGGCAGGTTGTCATCAAATGTGTAATCACTCAAGTGGATATCTGCAGCAATTAAAACAAATTACTCCTTTCTCGTTCCTTTTAAAGCCAGGAGGCAAATCGGTTACCTAGAAACACACTGACTTATGACTAACCCTCTTCCCTTATTTGCCAAGGTCAACACATATGAAACCACAGGCCACATGTTGACAAGCTTTCCTAGAATCGTAATAGGTTTATAGAGGTTAATGTTCTTGGGTCATCAGGCTCTGAGGAAGAGGCCAGGTCAGAAGAGGAAAAAGCCAGCAAAAATTAGAAAAACTTAGAAATTGGTTTTTGTGTTAGCATGGAGACTGTCAGCTGCTGAACGTATTAATAAGAACAAGAAAAAGTCGAGGCCGGGTGCGGTGGCTCACGAATGTAATCGCAGCACTTTGGGAGGCCGAGGTCGGGGAATCATTTGAAGCCAGGAGTTTAAGACTAGTCTGAGCAACATGATGAGACCTTGTCTCTACAAGACAATATGAACAAAAAAAAAGCAAACAAAAAGACTTTTTGAACTGCAGAGGAAAAAGGAATGCAGTCAGCTTTGAATCTAATGGATTGTCTCAAAACTTACTCCTGCAAGCCTAAATTTTGTACCTGTGAGGAAGCATCCTTAGAGGCATAGCATATGCCTCCTTTACGAGGTGTTAAATTACCCAAATCTCTCATTTTGATCTTTCAGCTTTATTTCACTGGAGTTTCATAGGCTGTATATCAGTTAGAAGAAATGGTATCCAACAATTAGTAACATAAATGTCAATGCTTGAAAACCTGCGACTCACTTAGAAACTCAAATCTGACTTGCTCCTTCTATGGCTTCGTGGGGATGAACTTTGTTTCACTGACCTGAACATCTTCAGAGACAGAGGCTTCTTTCTTTTTTTTTTTTTTTTGAGTTGGAGTCTCACTCTGCCGCCCAGACTGGAGTGCAGTGGCCGCTCCCGGCCACCACAGCAGAGGCTTCTTTCATTGGGGAGATCTGAGGAGTGTCAGGATTGTTGGGGAAATCTGCCAGGCACTGACCTCCATCGCCCTCATACCAGCCTCGTCCTCCTGGCCTCACTCTTCTGAGGATTTCGCTCATGGAAGTCTCAAGCCACATTCGCTTGGGAGACTCCTGGTAGAAGGGACAGGTCTGAGGTGAAATCTATATTAACATACAGAATAGCTGCACTAAAATGAAATGTTGCTGAGTCTGGTCACCTCAGTTCCCGGGTGAGGCTCGTTAGAGCAGAGTGGCAAGGTCTGTTTGTATGACTGTCTCATTCCTTTTTCTACAGGCTTCAGGAATGTTTGCTGCCCAACACCCATATGAACATAGAATGTGCAGAGTTAGCACAGAGGCCTCCCTCAGGTCTCCTTGCTCTTGCTCTTTGCCAGGTGAGTGATTGGGAGCTTCAAGAGGACACCTTCTTTTATACATTTGCATAAAACACACACTAAAAGCTACTGGGCCAGTGGTGACATTTTGAATTTAAAAAACAAGTCCAAGCCATTTCCAGGTTTATGAATTATCCTATAGACACACAAATTTACTTAATTTGCTTATTTAGTCGGAGTCTCACTCTGTCACCCAGGCTGGAGTGCAGTGGCATGCTCACGGCTACCACAGCCTCCTGAGTAGTTGGGACTACAGGTGTGCACCATCACACCTGGCTAATTTTTAAATTTATTTTAGAGATGAGGTCTTTCCAGGTTGCCCAGGTGGATCTCCCTGGGTTCAGGCAATCCTCTTGCCTCTACCTCCCAAAGTGCTGGGATTCCAGGCATGAGCCACCATGTCTGGATCACAAATTTAAATTAAAATAACAAACCAAAGCCTCAATACTTTATTATCTTATATTTTCTCATTAAAATGGCTAATGAAGGAGGCCACTGTGGCAGCCTACTATTTGAAGGCTGCACCTGTATCTTTAATGCTAACAGACTTACTCCATAAAACAGGAAACCCTACCCCAGGGCTGTAACAGGTGTTTATTTAAGTTTCCCAATTCCAATGACAACTAATAATTTGTATTACCTACCAACACAGAAAGGACTAATAGATTTTAATAATGTTCCCCTGTAGATGAAAAACGCCACACATGATAAACTTTCTCTACGTACACGATCTGTTGACCCTCGCCAGAAATAGCTGTGGAAACACCTACGACTGCGATTTTCACGCTGGAGCCTGGCTACTTCTGGGGTTACTTGGTGGCCTGCCAAGGCAGGCAGCCAATGACACGGTGAATATTCTCCATCTTTCTAGACAGCAGCATTTACTCAAGGCTAAACAATCACCTATTTATTTTTTTTAAATGTTCAACATAAGCTTTCTTCCCCAGCTGGAATATATAGAGAACCCTAACATATAAAACACGTTTCAGAAAACTGCACTAGCAGTGGTAGTTGGCAGGTGTGTGGTCCCCTCCACACCCTGGCTCCCTGGTAAGCCCTGGAGAAGTGTCTGGCACACCCAGCCTCACTGCCTTCCAATCTCAGCTCAGAGATGTGCATCCTGCCCTGGACACAAAAGGGCTACCAAGGGGGTCCCAGCGTCCCCAGTGTAACTGCCTCCCACTTGCTCTCTTTACAGGTAAGTAACAGAGGCAGCACAGCCAGAATTTTATGCCCTGAAGCCCAGCTTTCTAAATCTATACCCTTCTGGCTTTTCAGTCTCTCTGGCAGCAATACATTTCAACAAATTAATACTTCCGCTTGTCTTAAGGTAGTACTCAGATCCGGTGGCACCTCCATTTTTAGATCGTAGTAAACAGCAATGTGTTTCTCCAAACTGTAAAAGAGTGCTGAGTGTTTCCACATGGCGTCCTGCTCCCTAATCTGGTTTCTGAATATTCTGTTTCTTTTTCTTTTCTGTATATTCTTCTAGTCGAAGAAGCCACTTGGTCCAGTACTGGGAACAGAGCTCTCCATTCATGAAATGCGAGTGGGCAGGTGACCCATCCTTGTAGGCTACCACAATCAAGCCACACTGAACCTAAAAGGAAACATAGGGCAATGTCAGCACTGATATAGCAGGTCAAGTTCAGGTTCATTTCCTTCTTACTCCAGGGCACACTCAGTACACAAATACCCACAATAACATCTCCTAACTCAGTTTCTAGGGTGGGCTGATGAAAGACTGCACCAGGACACACAGAACATAGAGATGACAGATAAAGTGCCAAAGAATGGACTGTGATCATTAAAAATCTATTCTTAAGAAAAAGCCCAGGGGCGAGGGGGTGGGCAAGTGCTTTTTATTTTTATTTACTTACTTATTTTTTGAGTCAGAGTCTCACTCTGTTGCCCAGGCTGGAGTACAATGGGAAGCTCATGGCCACCACAGCCTTGACTTGCTGGGCTCAGGTGATCCTTCCATGTAGCTGAAACTATAAGCATGTGCCACCACACCCGGCTAATTTTTTGATTTATTGTAGAGACAAGGTCTTACCACGTTGGCCAGGCTGATCTCAAACCTGTGGGCTCAGACAGTCCTCTCGCTTCTGCCTCCAAAGTGCTGGGATTACAGGTGTGAGCCACCGCGTGGCCGGGGAAGTGCTTTTTAAAATGCAAGAAGGAGGCCGGGCTGGTGGCTCAGCCTGTAATCCCAGCACTTTGGGAGGCCGAGGCAAGTAGATTGCCTGAGCCTGCAGGTTCGAGATCCACCCGGGCAACTTGGTGAGACCTCGTCTCTACAATAAACCAAAAATTAGCCGGGCACGGTAGCGCATGCTTGTAGTTCCAGCTACTTGGAAGACTGAGGCGGAAGGATCGCTGGAGCCCAGCAGGTCGAGGCTGCAGTGGCCGGGAACGTGCCACTACACTATAGTCTGGGCAACAGAATGAGACTCTGACTCAAAAAAAAAAAAAATGCAAGGAGGACAAGGAACAGAGCAAGCAGTGGGATAGAAAGAGAGTAAAACCCTAAAAAGTGTAATAGTTGGCAGTGCTGAACCAAGCTTTTAGTCAGTAGGGCCCAACGTCCTGACCTGGAAGCTGTAGTTGGCATCATGGTTCATGGCACCCACATATGCCACAACTTGCAGAGGGTTGTCAAATGTATTTTGGATAAAAGGCTTTGGTTTCTCTGATGTCTTCCAGTCAATCACACACAGCTGGCCCCTAAAGATAAACCAAAGGAAGTCTTTGTAGGTCATTCAAACTGAAAATGCCATCCTTTTACATATAGTTTAATGCTTGTAATCCAATGACCATGGCTTCTATTCCTTTTTTTTTTTAAAAGAGATGAGGTTTCACTATGTTGCCCAGACAGGACTTAAATGCAAGGGAGCCTCCCACTTCAGCATCCGAGGAGCTGGGATTACAGGCATGAGCCTCCATGCTTGGCTCTCCACTCTTTAAAATGGGCTTTACTTCTTAGGACTAGACAGGTGTGATGCTCCCTGACCTCTGATTCAGGTCAGTGATAAGCCCATCAGGAGGTACAATGGAAAATGCTTCTTCACGTGTACCCATGAGAGCTATAGTGTGGCCACAAGGGAGGAGTGGAAACAAATTTTCTGCAGTTCACATTTCTCAACTTTCTCATAATTCCTTTGAAACTCCACGGGCCCCCTTTCCTCTAACAGCTGACAGAGAAATTGAAACTATATGTATTCCTGTCTTAATTAATTTGGCTTCAAATGTCCACCAGAATGTAACACAACAAAATCCCCATGATGAAGGACCTTGCATTATGGTGCCTTGAAAATGCTCTTGCCCAGAAACCAAAGCTGGGGCTCAAATCCCTTACACTCATTAGGCATCAACTGTATGCAGAAATATAAATAAGGAAACCTGGCCCCTGTCCTAAAAGTTTATACACTGGGTAGAGAAATAAAAAAATAAAAATAAAATCCAAAAAAATTTCCTGGTCAGATATGGTGGCTCATGCCTATAATCCCAGCACTTTGGGAGGCTGAGGTGAGAGGATTGCCTGAGTCCATGGGTTCCAGACCAGCCCGGGCAACTTGGTGAGACCTCATCTCTACAATAAACCAAAAAATTAGCCGGGCATGGTGGCATGTGTCTGTAGTTCCAGCTACTTGGAAAGTTGAAGAGGAAGGATCCCCTGAGCCCAGCAGGTTTAGGCTGTGTTAGCTGTAAGTGTGCCACTGCACTCCAGCCTGGGCAACAGAGTAAGACTCCAACTCAAAAAATAAAAAAATTTGCTACCACTTTTTAAGTGGGAAGGAGTAGTCAAATAACCAATGTATTCCTCCATCTTGCTTCTGCCTGGTGGCATTTTTATCCTTGCCAACTGAATAACAAAAGGATGGTAGGAAGAGCAGATCGGTAACTGTTGACTCTCACAGGGCTTGATCTGTTCAATCCATCATTCATTATGACTTCAATTTCAACATCAGCAGTTAGTCAATGTATGTATGTTACTTACATGTCATATAGTTCTAGACAGAGTTAGAACTCATGCAAAGTATCTACAAGATCAGCTTAGGGTATCATTGGGTAAAAAAAAAATCAAATGTGAACCACATTTCATTTTATTTATTTATTTATTTTTTGAGTTGGAGTCTCACTCTGTCGCCCAGACTGGAGTACAGTGGCCGCTCCTGGCCACCGCAGCCTCGACCTGCTGGGCTCCGGCGATCCTTCCGCCTCAGCCTTCCGAGTAGCCGGAATTACAGGCATGCACTACCACGCCCAGCTGATTTTTTTTTGATTTATTGTAGAGATGAGGTCTCGCTGCCCAGGCGGGTCTCGAACCCGCGGGCTCAGGCAATTCACTCACCTCAGCCTCCCAAAGGCGCGAGATTACAGGCTGAGCCACCCAGCCCAGCTCACATTTCATTTTAAATTTTCTAGTAGCCACATCAGAAAAGAAAAAGAAGAAACAGGTGAAATTGTAATGTTTTAACACAACATATCCAAAATATTATCATTTCAACACATAACCAATATAATAATTTGTAGTGGGATATTTTACATTCTTTTTTGCACTGAGTCATTGACATCTAGTTTGTACATTGTTACAGCACACCTTAGTCAAGTGTGCAACAGCCATATGTGGTTAGTTGCTACTCTACTGGACAGTGCAGGTTTAGAGATAATTTTAGTGTCTTTGTAATTGTTTTGTAATATTGCCAAGTTTGATGTCTATGCAGTTGAAAAGAGGGCCCCAGTAACTCCAGAAGGCTGCCAGTCTCAGTTCTTCACTTGAGTACATCAACCTTTTTTTTTTTTTTTTTGAGTCAGAGTCTTACTCTGTCACCCAGGCTGGAGTGCAGTGGCATGCTCATGGCCACCACAGCCTTGATCTGCTGGGCTCAGGTGATCCTTCTACCTCAGCCTTTCAAGTACCTGGAACTACAGGTGCGCGACACCACATCTAGCTAATTTTTTTGATTCATTGTAGAGATGAGGTCTCACCAAGTTGCCCAGGCTGGTCTCGAACCTGTGAGCTCAGGCAATCCTCTCACCTCAGCGTCCCAAAGTGCTGTGATTTATAGGCATAAGCCACCACGTCCAGTCCAACATCAATATCTTTAATGTGAAAAAATATTAGCAGCATACTGAAAACTGTAAAACACTGATGAAAGAAATTGAAGATGGTGCAAATAAATGGTAAGAAACTCAGTAGGGTGGGCATGGTGGCTCACTCCTGTAATCCCAGCACGTTGGGAGGATGAGGCAGCTTGAGCTCAGGAGTTTGAGACCAGCCTAGGTTACATAGTAAGACCTCATCTCTACAAAAAAAAAAAAAAAAAAAATTAGCTAGGTGTGGTGGCACGTGCCTGTAATCCCAACTACTTGGGAGGCTGCGGTAGAACAACTGCCTGAACCCATGAGGTCAAGGCTATGGTGAGCTGTGATCATGCCACTACATTCTAGCTTGGGCAACAGAATAAGACCCTGACTCAAAAAAGAAAAACTCATATATTATAATATAAACCCTTAATATGTTTATTATTCTTGTTTTTTTAATTATTATTTTTTTTTAGAGACCAGGTCTCGCCAAGCTGCCCAGGTTGGTCTCGAATCCCTGGGCTGAGGTAATCCTCTCACTTCCGCCTCCCAAAGTGCTGGGATTACAGGCATGAGTCACTGTGCCCAGCAACTTTATTATTTTTTGTAGAGACAGGGTCTCACGATGTGGCCCAGGCTGGTCTCGAACTCCTGGCCTCACACAATTCTTCCACCTTAGCCTCCCAAATTGCTGGGATTACAGGCGTGAGCAACCTCCTCTGGCTTAAAATACATGTGTTAAGTGAAAAAAAAGCAGGGTGTAGAATCTTGTGTTAAAAAGTGACGAGGGGAACAAATGATTACATGCATAGTTACAAAAGATCTCAGCTTTACAACTTTCTAAGCAGAGGTTAAATACAAAGTGATGTGAGGGACTCACTTGTAATAGTTTAAATTAACAAACTGCATATATTACCCATTAAACATTCTTCTTAAATTTCTAAAACTTTAGTTTAAAACTGTTCATATCCTCCATGCTGATGCTCTGAAAGAGCAAAAATCAAACAGTGGTGCTGTGATCATGTTTGATGCTCCCTATGACGAGCACTTGGCATCAGACACTTGTCACCCTTGGTGGAAGTGGCTGCATGGCTCCCTCAATCTACAGGGAAGCCGAAAACAGCCTACTGGACTTCCTGGCACAGGGCAGTTAGGGCACAAAACTATCTGCTCTGAACAGTTTCCTGACTAATGAGTATTCCGGCAATTTCTTAACTTAGATTTTAACTCACGCCTCCATTCACGTCCAGCTTTCTCTCACTCCTTCCCCCGTCCTCACTGCTCCCATGCTGTATCTGGAACATGGGCACCTCCAGGTCACAGCTACCCTTAGAATCTGGGCAAACAGTGAACACAGCAGCACCTGGAAAACTGCAGGAAGCTTCTGTACGTTCAGAGTTCCCACCATGTCAACCATGCCTGGAAGCCAGGACAAACAAAAGCTGACCTCCAGAATCAACAGGTCACGGAGCTGTCTTTAGGAAAACAGGAAAGAAAATGCAGGAATCAAACTGGATCTTATGGCTGGTGCCTTGCTTGTGGGAAGAGGAAGGGGTAGGCTGGAAAACAGGCCATGTTTTGGGATATTACATATGTATCTCATATAAATGAATACATAGGTAAATAAATAAAAACAAAGCATACACATGTATTTTAGGCTGGGGCAGCAGCTCGTGCCTGTAATCCTAGTATACCCAGCATACCTCTTCTCCACCAAATAGATTGATTTTGGAACACTGACTGACAGGGATGATGTGGCTCTTCGCATTGTATCTGTCCTCACTTCCTGCCCCATGTCCAATCCTTTTACCTGTCACACAGGTTTTGACTTCCAAGAGGCAGAGGCTGCAGTACCTCCAGGCACATCTTGAACAGGAGTCAAGAGGACAAAGCACCTCTGACATGCACCACGTGTCTCACCCGCCAACTCCCCTCTACCCTACGATGGAAATGATCTTGTACTCACTGGTACTCAGCCACACAGTCCAGCAAGCCTGCATACTGCAAGGTTTCATGCTGAACAGCACTTTCAAGAGCTCGTACTCCATGGATATCTTTCAGAATATGCTGGACACTTTTGACGTAACCAGATTTGAGGAGGTTTTCATCTCTCTCTTGTAAGTTCCCCTGGGGTGAAAGTATGCTTTCCAAGTCTTCATGGAACTGTTGCCCTTGTAAAAAGATGTCTGAAAAAAAATCAGGGGAAAAAAAAAACAAGCTAATACTAAAAAAACAAACACCCTAAAAATCTCCAAACGATAAAAGTTATTACACAAAAATGACAACCCTAAGACGCCAAATTTCAGCCTCTTGTGAAGCCTAAGAATGTACTTGGGAAACCAAAGGGATTAGAATAGTTTAGCTAATAAAATGAATTAAAGTGAAGTATTTCTAGTAGAATCAGATCAAAGCTAAGGTGGAAGGTCTGGGGACCCTAGGCCCACATCTGATTTGTGGTGCTGGGTATTTAAGTACGCAGTTTAATAAGCTAACCAGTTGGTTGTGATGAAGTCATGAGATATTTAGGAGGCTGTACTTCTGTTTAGTTCTTTAATGAACCCTTTCACTAGCAAGATTAGTGACCAGCAAGGAATGAAAATTAAGGCACACGTGACTTAAAAATAATGAATTGGCTATTGTGAGTGGGGAAGGAGAGAAAAATGGGATATTCTTTTCCTTACTTTTCTTAGTGCTAGAACAGTCTGAGATGGCTGCTGTGTCTGAAGTTCCTTCCCATACACTTTTTCCCATTCTATTATTTAATATTTAGCATGTATTATTTTTCTAATTAGCTTTAGAGTATTGGAATTCTAATTTGTGGTTTATAGGGGAATGTATTTCTCCCTTTCTAACATTTTCTAGTGTATAAGCACAAGTCTCAGGAACCATGAGAACACATTATTTTTCTCATATGTTCATTTTTTTTTTGAGTCAGAGACTCACTCTGTCAGGCTAGAATACAGTGTATGATCAGAGCTTACTCAACTTCAACCTCCTGGGCTGAGGTGATACTTCTGCCTCAGTCTCCAGAGTGGCAGGGACAACAGAAGCACACCACCACAACGGGCTAGTATTTTTGATTTTTTAAAGAGATGAAGTTGCTCAGGCTGGTCTCAAACTCCTGGGCTCAAGTGAGCCTTCCACCTTGGCCTTTCAAAGTGCTTCAAAGTGCTGGTATTACAAGTGTGAGCCACCATACCCAGGTTTTTCTGAAGGAATTGCAGTGGTTGGATTCGTCAGCATATCCCAGGACCTAATTGATTTTGAACGCTGTCCTTTTGTGTGCTCCTTGGCTTGCTCAGGAAGCTCCTCCTCATACACTTGTGAGAAAATGGCAGGCAGATTGAACAAGGCAAGAAATACTGGATACTCACTCGTTTCTTGGAAAAAGAAGGAGAAAGAAAGAGTGGGCACTGTCCTGCCAAGCAGTGGTGTTGTGAACACAACAACCCAACAAGATAAGGATCATTACCCCCATTTTACTGAACGAGGCCCTGTTGGCTTGAGCAGTGCTATTAATTTGCCCAAAAGCAAAAGTTGAATGGGCAGCCTGGCCCCAGAAAGTGTTCTTTCCAGTTCACCACACAGTAGAGCAAGGAGGCAGAAACAGAGCAGGAAATGTACATGCTTGGAGACAGACCCACAGAAAATGGGGGAAGCAAGTCGCCTAACGAGGCCATATTAAATTGTACTATGCTTATCAAATGTCCTTCACATAGACTTTGAAAGGTCAGTTCTACCACTGGCAAAAAAAAAAAGAAAAAAAGGAAGCCCTCTGGGAAACTAGAGAGTTAAGTGAAATTCAATTTAGGAACTGAGTTATCCTACTCCAAATTTACTTGGCTCAGTTGGAATTCTTAATACATGAAAGGACTACAAGAAATTTAACACTGATGAAATTAAAGGCTAGGAAAACGAAGTGAATATTCATCTGCAGACTAGCTTAACGAAGCAGAAGACAAACATTTTAAAAACAGGAAGAAAAAAAAATGCTTTATCAGCTGCCATGCAAATAGACAATTGATTTCCTGCTGCAAACTTACCCCTGACCAGGTTCTTCACATACACATGACCACAAACTTGAAAATCTAGATTGCAAGGGTACCTCAGAACAGGGGTCCCCAGTCACCAGGCCATGGACTGATACCAATCCATGGTCTGTTAGGAAACAGGCTGCACAGAAGGACATGAGCGGCAGGGGAGCAAACAAAGCTTCATCCGTATTTGCAGCCAATTCCCATCACTTGCATTACCGCTTGAGCTCCACCTTCTGTGAGATCAGTGGCGGTATTAGATTCTCATAGAAGCAGGAATGCTATTGTGAACTGCACACACGAGAGATTTAGGTTGCCAGCTCCTTATGAGAATCTAATGTCTGAGAATCTGAGGTGGAGCTGAGGCGGTGATGCTAGTGCTGGGGAGAGGCTGCAAACACAGATTAACATGAGCAGTGAGGTTGGACTGCACATCCCTCCAATCCATGGAATAATTGTTCTCCACGAAACTGGTCCCTGATGCCAAAGAGGTTGGGGGCCACTACCTTTGAATCTAAGGCTCAGAACATTAAACATGATTCAATCTGTACAAATAAATTAAATTTAAAAATGGTTCAAGAATGGCTGGGTGTGGTGGCTCATGCCTGCAATTCCAGTACTGGTAGGCAGAGGTAAATGAATCCTCTGAGCCCAAGGATTCAAGATCAGCCTGGGCAACTTGGTGAGACCTTGTCTACAATAAATCAAAAAGTAAGTAGGCATAGCGGTTGAGCCCAACAGGTCGAGGTTGCGGTGGCCGTGATCATGCCACTGCACTCCAGCCTGGGTGCAGAGTGTGATTCTGACTCCAAAAAAAAAAAAATTCAAGACTAGATTTACTGCAGGTAACATCAGAGTATTCACTCAAATGAAAGGAATGAAAGTCAAATGCGTCAAAGAAATGCAAATGAAATGTTTCTGAGTCCCAGTATACAAAGTGCATTAAAAATATTCATGCATCTCCAACATTCTGTTGATAGAACTGGCAGGAGAGCTTATATGTTAGGATTTACAAAATCAGTGTAGTGGCCAGGCTTGGTGGCTCAGCCTGTAATCCTGCGCTTTGGGAGGCCAAGGTGAGTGAATTGCCTGAGCCCGCAGGTTCAAGAACCACCTGGGCAACTTGGCGAGACCTCATCTTTACAATAAAAAAAATTAGCCGGGTGTGGTAGCGCGTGCCTGTAGTTCCAGCTACTTGGAAGGCTGAGGCAGAAGGATCGCCGAAGCCCAGCAGGTCGAGGCTGCAGTGGCCAGGAGTGACCACTGCACTCCGGTCTGGGCGACTAAGTGAGACTCCAACTCAAAAAAAAAAAAAATCAGTGTAACAAAAAAATGAAGGACTAAAGCCCAGCCCTTTCCACAAAAAGCAACACAAACATAAATCAGGGGAATTGAGACGTTCTCCTCCTTGCCAGTCTTCAAAAGGCGAACTAATGCCTGGGAAAGTGCTCAAGTGTTTGGAAGAATGCCAGCTATGCTCTGTGCTCTGGCCTTTAAAAAGACTAGGCAGAAAGTAATGTATTGATCCAATATTTCTCATTTAAAAAAAAGACCTTTAAACTTTTAATCCATTCACTGAGTTCTGATAAGTTCTTTTTCTTTTTTTGGCCACAACACTAATCTACATGTAATTATCCTTTAAAAAAAAAAGTTATTCTGCTTATTTCTTAAGGTCCCTGAGTTAACCAAGAGACACAGCAGAGTGCTAATCTTGATCAACAAAGCTGACTATGAAAAAAAAAAAAACATGGTTTTCTCTCTGCCTGGGTTACGAGGCTCATTCACATTCCAAACAGAAATTCCTCTCCAATGCACTTCCTGACTTCCTGCCAACAGCTACAGCCTCGAGGGTCCCTCTTGTCCCAGCCTTTACATTTTATGTGAGCAATTTCAGCTGTGACATCCCTGGTTTAAAGAAAATCAAAACAATTTCTTACTAGGAAACTATCAATTCTAAGTTCTAGTGGTACAAATAAAAAAACATAAGATGCCAGCAAAAGGTTCTTCCGCTGCTTGCCTAGAAAGCAGAGACTAGTTGGTGGTTGTTATTAATGAACTGTCTTCAGAAGACCTTAACCCTTGCAGGTCATCTTTGCCCCACACAGTTGAGGAATGCTGTAAGGAGTCAAGGTCCTGACCATTTTTGCCATATCCAGTACCACTTACTTAATACTTTTTTTTTTTGAGTCGGAGTCTCACTGTCACCCATGCTGGAGTGCCGTGGTTCACTCATGACGACCACAGCCTCGACCTGCTGGGCTTAGGCAATCCTTCTGCCTCAGCCATCCAAGTAGCTGGAACCACAGGCAGTGCCACCATGCCCAGCTAATTTTTTTGATTTATTGTAGAGATGAGATCTCACCATGTTGCTCAGTCTGGTATTGAACTCCTGAGCTCAGGCAATCCTCTTGCCTCTGCCTCCCAAAGTGCTGGGATTACAGGCTTGAGGTGCTGGTCCAGCTAATACTTTTCTTTAAAACATGTGACATGTTCAATGTTGCACACTTACATACATGATTTTTCCAAGATGCCTCAAAATAAGTATACTCTTCTTAAAATAAAAGTGCTTGTTTATCACTAGGAGTATCGTACTGCTCTCTGGGAAGCATGGACTAAGGAATGACCAATGTAAAACTTAGCTTTAACAAAAGACACCTATATAATCCTCACAGGACCAGATAATTTCCCTGCTCCAGTGGAAAGCTTAAGGAAGCTATTCTCCCTACTTGCCTAAGTTAGGAAGTTAGAAATGGAAAGCTAAAGTTTGTTTATGCTCAGATCCTTATCAAGAGCACTTGAGTATCTCAATTTACAGATCATGTGTTCTGGATTGTTGTCAGGGTCTTTAAATTTATGAGTCCATTAACTCTGAGAGTAGAGCAACATTTACTAGCTTCTAAACAGAATGCCTACAAACAACTAGAATTGTTATCAGATGACTGACTTTTTTCCATAATCAAGGAAAACAAGCAATTCTATTATTAAGTTTGTAGCTTATAAAACAAACGAATTTTATGTATCATTTAGCCAAATACTTGATTTCTGTTTCATCAATAAAATGGGGATAATCGCATCTACAATTCATGGGACTATCATGAGGGGCAAGTTAATACACACAAAGTGCAAGTTAATGTTCATTACTATTTGAAAGTAGTTCCTTGCTATTAAGTTAAAAAAAAAAACAACCCATTCTTCTAACAATGATACTCTCCGTTCTAGAACGCAAAAGTTACCATACAGAACCGAATTGAGGCAATTACTTGAAGTGTATTCTTTAAAGCCGTCTTCTCCCAGTTCCAGAATCATCCGCTGTTTCCACCTCTCCAGGTAGAAAATCTGTTGTTTTGTCATGGTCTCCTGGAGGACCCGGGTCACGCTGGGGATCACACCTTTTTGCAAAGGGATTTTCAAAGGAACGGAAGGATCACTCTCATTCGGGGCAGCCCTCTTCACAGGATTGAAGATGGGAAACCAGTTGCGCAGAACTCTGTCTTCTTTTTCTTGCTCTGGGGGCTTCTGCTTGCTCACGGGCCCATAGAGCAAGTCATCTTCCTCAAACAGCGACTCTGGGGTATGTGCGGAGCCTCGTGGGGTATGTGACGGGCCTCGGGACAAGACAGATCGCACCAAACTGGAATATTTTTCCTGGTCCACTTCTTCGTACGGGTTCACTTTTTTCTTCCGGCCACATGAATAAGGCGAAGTCGAGAAATCCATCAGGGAGGCGGATCCCACAGAAAAGCTCTGGGAACTTCGGAGCAACTTGCAGCCGGCCTGGAAAGCCTTCATCTTCAGATTATTTTTTCACTTCTCTCTGGTCTATCTGCAGGGTTGGGGGCCTTTTTCGTCTTTGTATTCCTATGAAAGAGAAATGTCAACGTGCATCAGTAAACTAATCCATCAACTTTTTTTTTTTAATTGGAGTCTCACTCCGTCGCCCAGACTGGAGTTCATTGGCACGCTCCGGGCCACTGCAGCCTCAATCTGCTGGGCTCCGGCGATCCTTCCGCCTCAGCCTTCCAAGTAGCCGGAACTAAAGGCGCCCACTACCACGATCGGCTAATTTTTGATTTATTGTAGAGACCAGGTCTCGCCAAGTTGCCCGGGTGGGTCTCGAACCCGCAGGCTCAGGCAATCCACTCGCCTCGGCCTCCTAAAAGTGCTGGAATTACAGGCTGTGCCACCGAGCCCGGCTAACCCATCAACTTTTTAACCATGTTTGGGCAAAGTCCCCAAGACTCTCACCGAGATCAGAAGGCCCAGCACTTTTTTTTTTTTTGAGTGGAGTCTCGCTCTGTCGCCCAGGCAGGAGTGCAGTGGCACGCTCACGGCTCACCGCAGTCTCGACCTCCTGGGCTCAGGCGGTCCTCCCCTTCAGCCTCCCGAGTAGCGCGTGACCCAACGCGCCCTGCCCCTGCACTTAGACGCCCAACAGTAGACAGCTTGGGGCAAGACGTCCTCGGTCCTGAGTCCGATGACGTGCGCCGCCCGAGGAGGGAGAGGTGCGAGAGGCGCAGAGAAACGGAAAGATGAAGCCCGTCGCCTGTCGGCCACAACAGTCACAGACAACGCGCGCCCTAACACGGGGGCGATTGCGACCCCGTTTTACAGGCGTGGAAAGTCGAGCTTCCGAAAAAGTCACGTCCTATGTCGCAGGTCCGGGCGGGACCCACCGTCGCGATCCCCGGGCTGCCGCTCCCCGCTGCGCCCAGGATATGGACCCCGGTGTGGGGATAGGGCGGCTGTGGCCTCTCGGGCGGGAGTTTGGATCAGGGAAAAGGCGGCTTACGCCGAAGCCCACCGGCGGCAGGGGTCGGTACCTTGGAAGCCTGCACGCTTCGCACAGCTCCCGGGACGCGCACACCCTCTGGCGACCCGTACTTTCATCGGTCCCGCGCTTTTGTCGCGGGTAAGGATCAGCCTAAGACAAGGCGGTTCCGGCATGCCCCGCGACGCTCACGCCCCATCCCGAAGCTCTCGTTCGCCACGCGCGGCGGTCCATCCGTCGGAGGTCCCGCCCCTCAGGCGGAAGCGCGGGCTCCTCCAAATCTCGCTCTTTTGTGCTCGCGAGATCTCGTGACGTCACCGCCGTCCGCCATCTTGAACGCGGGCTAAGCAATAAATGCTCCCCACACTGAACCGCGGTCTTTCTCGAGACGCACCTCGCTGGGAGAGTGTCCGCAGCTCTGCGTTCGCGTCACGGTCCTGCGGTCGGCGGTCTCGGCGCGGTGCGGAACAAGGGTAGGCACCGCGTTGCGTTTTTGCCCGGCTTCAAGATGGACGGCAGCGGGGACGGGGAGGCCGCCATGCGGGAGCACGTGGCGTCCTGCTCGCCTGCTCCCGGGGCTGCTGGGATGGTGGCGGAGTCCGAAGGCCTCCCGCGCCATCGGGCAGGGAGGCTCGCGGAGGCGGGGCCGTGGCCGCCCTGAGCGCTTCCCCGGCGGCGGCCCAGCCTCTTCTTTCCTCGCACAGCCAGGCGGCCCCTGCTCGAGTCCCGCGTCGCCATGGCCGCGGTTCCCGAGTTGCTGCAGCAGCAGGAGGAGGACCGCAGCAAGGTGAGGCCCTGCCCGCCTCCGAGGCGGGACCCCGCCGAGCCCCCGGGCCCTGCAGTCTGTCCCCCGTCCTCCTCCGGGCTCTGGCCCTCCCCGACGCGGGAAGCTCCCGCGGGTGTTAGCAACTCCCGCCCGTCTCCGGCTGACCCTGGAGACCCCAGATCTTCCTAAGACGTTCTTTGGCTTTGTGGTGACTGGTAGGTGCAAGTGACATAGCGACGAGTAACAAACCTCGGGAGTTGGTTTTGTTGCCTCCAAACTGACCCGCATGTCCCTTTGAGAAACGGTCTTTTTGGCCCAAATCGCTAGGGGAAGCTCCATCAAGTGTCGCTTACTACTTAATGAACGCTAAACGGGTCGTGGTGGGAGTCGTGTAATTTTTCGTCGGTGTTCAAATACTTGAAGTCGGCTTTTATTCTCACTTCTTGCCTGTGGATGTGAATCGTCCCCAGGCCGCGCGGGATTCTTCCTTCGCTACGCGAGGTTACTTTGAGTAGATTCAGAGACAAACCCCCACTCTTGACCGGTCCTTTAAATTGGAGTCTGGCTAGTTTTGCCATACAGTTGATGAGCCTCAGTCTCCAGCACAGAATCGTCCACATAAAGGTTTTTCTTATAGAAAGATGAAAACCTAAGAATGCAGGTCTCTAAAATAGGAGTAATTCGGAGCCATCTTAGAGTCTTATATCTCTTTAGAAGTCCGAGTCACCTCGATAAGAAACTTTTCACCTGGTAATTAAGTACGAAGCTCCAGAGCTGCTGGGTAGTCCCAACAAGGGCATCGTCTTGTTGGCTGTTGAAGTGGAGCTTTGTCCGTAGCGTCTTGGTTGGGGTGCTTCTTTGAAAATTGAAAAAAGTTCATTTTTACTGAAACTGAGAGTGGGAACTTGAGACTGATTCTTTCTGCAGTTTTCTCCCTAAAGTGTAGATAGATCTTTTGATAGCAGTTTGTTTTTTCTTGTTTTTCTTTTAGCTTTCTTGATCGTGAAAGGACTTGATGTCCTCAGCCCTCCTCCTCACTAGTAACTGTATGCTGCATCTGGTTTTTAAAATGATTTCCCATTACCCTGTTACTCCAGCAAAATTGGAGGATTATGAAGGCTTTTTCTTGCCTCTCCTGGTCTTAGTGGCAGCAGGAACTTTGTCCAAACGCATAGTGAAGAGGATTGTGTAGCATTATTTTTTTTCTGGCTTTTTAAGTTACAGGAATAAGATAATACAACTAAATAAAACATTGCCCTAACAGGTGACTTCATTTGTTTCCTGATTTCTGCTGATGCTAGTATTTTGCTGTGGTGGATCAGATCTAGATGGTTCATTCTACAGTTAACCAAAAGGGAGTTTGTGTCAAGGGAGAAATAATGGTGGGAGGCCAAGAGTCAACTGAAATATTTCACATTTTTACTTAATGGAATGTGGATAAAGACCCGCTAGTAGGTAGGGAACATAATTGATTCGGGGGGGGGATGGGGTGGGGGGTGGTTTGAAGGCTAGTACAATGTTCACCTGAGCTAGTTCAGCAGAAGGGAAGAGTACAACAAGCTGTCTGGTGGCTGCATGCTTCCATTTTTGCCATCCTCTAGCAGAAAGTGGAATTCGGGGGAAGAGTTGCAGGGCAGTTTAGTGCTTAACTGGCCCTCTCCTGATGTATAGGATGTACTGTGTTTTGTTTTTTTGTTTTTGTTTTTTTTCAGTTGGAGTCTCACTCTCACCCAGGCTGGAGTGTAGTGACACACTCACAGCCCCTGCATCCTCCACCGGCTGGGCTCAGGTGTTCTGCCTCAGCCTTCCTAGTAGTTGGAACTACACAGGCATGCACCACCGTGTTTGGTGGCTTTAAAAGAAAAAAAAAGACATTTAAACAATAACTTTAGTTCTTGTTTTTAGAAACTATAGAATGTACATGATCTGGAAATGAGAGGAACCACACAGGCATGCACCACCATGTCTGGTCGCTTTAAAAAAAAAAAAAAAGACATTTAAACAATAACTTTAGTTCTTGTTCTTAGAAACTATAGAATGTACATGATCTGGAAATGAGAGGAACCACACAGGCATGCACCACCATGTCTGGTCGCTTTAAAAAAAAAAAAAGACATTTAAACAATAACTTTAGTTCTTGTTCTTAGAAACTGTAGAATATACATGATCTGGAAATGAGACCGTACCAAACAATGGCAAAAGAATTGTCCGTGCTACTCTTTTGCCTGGTCACTCAGAAATGTAATGTTGTTGCTTGTCGCCTCACATTTTTATCCATGTATTCACCATAGTCTTCTTTCCCTTCCACATAAATTTGCGACTCTTTTTTCCACATACTGACTTGCCACATCTCTGAGGCCTGGCGGTAATACTGGTATTCTGTGCCATGTTGTCTTGGGTTGACTGACGTCACCTATTTGATAAACTTCACTGTCTCCTGATCGCCACATCTCATTTGTTGCTAGAAAAGAGTGTGACTGGATTTTTTTCATTCCACCTGTCTCATGACAGAGTCCTGACCCACTCAGCCAAGTAACTACACAATTCAGGAATCTTTTGAGAACCAAACTGCTAGCTGTTCAGGCTCATATCTTATAAACTGATAACGTACCTGTAACACAGGTCTTTGAAACATGGTTTTTGTTTTCTTTCTTACGGTCTAATCTTTAGAATCTTCCTGACTCTATACCTCGTGTCTGATTTTTTGATTTACTGTAGAGATGAGGTCTTGCCATTTTACTCAGGCTGGTCTCAAACCCCTGAACTCAGATAATCTCACCTCGGCCTCTCCAAAGTGCTGTGATTACAGGCATAGCCACCACAGTCGGCCTGATTTGGAAAACTAGGGTTTTGCAAAGTCTAACTCCTGAAAACCAGAATCGACTAGTGCTCTGTTAGGTCTCGTTGTGTGGTACCTAATAAAATAGTACTTTCCTCAGACATTTGGAATTCTGAAGAAGAGCTTGGGATTTCTGCACTGTGATGGTTAATGAGCTGGAGTGTGTGGAGTACATGGGGAAAAAAAGCCTTGCAAGGGGTTTGAAGCCTGTTCTGTTTCCCGGAGCTTCCCCACCTTTAACTATGGGTTCCCTTCCTTGACTGTAGGGTTCTCCTTCCTTGACTGTAGCAACTTGGCCTCTTTTTTTTTTTTTTGAGTTGGACTCTCATTCTACTAGGCTAGAGTGCAGTAGCCCAATCACAGCTCACCACAGCCTCAGTTTCTTGGGCTCAGGCAATCCTGCCTCAGTTTCCGTGGCTAGGACTATAGCTATGTGCCACCAACCCTGGCTAAGTTTTGAATTTTTTTTTTTTGTAGAGAAGAGGTCTCAATATGTTGCTGAGGCTGGTCTCAAGCGATCCTCCCGCCTTGGCCTTCCAAAATGGTGGGATTACAGGCGTGAGAACCACTGTGCCCAGCCAGTAGTTTAAAACTTAAATTTCTTAAGACTTAACTTTTACTGGTTGGTTACATGGACTTTGGTGGGTGGAGTCTGTCCTCATGGCCAGTCTTTAATCTTTATAGTATAAATGCTGCTGCTCTGGTTTGCAGGTAAGTTTTGTGGGTTTTTTTTTTATTTAAACCTGGTGTAGAAGCTGCTTCTGGGGTAGTTTTACTGCTCTTCATCAGCTTGGATAGAGTCTTGCAATTTGTTAGTATAGGAACAATCTTATACTCTGACTAGTATCCTAAGTCCAAACTCATCATATTTTGTGAACTGAAGCTTTATGCTACACTCACCACTTTTTTTTTTGAGTTGGAGTCTCACTCACCCAGGTTGGAGTGCAGTGGCACACTCACGGCCACCCTAGCATCCACCTGCTGGGCGCCAACAATCCTTCCATCTCAGCCTTCCAAGTAGTCAGAACTACAGGCACGCATTACCATGCCCAGCTAATTTTTGGTTTATTGTAGAGACAAGGTCTTGCCAAGTTGCCCGGATTGGTCTCTTAATCTGTGGGCTCAGGCAGTCTACTCACCTTGGCTTCCCAGAGTGCTGGTATTACAGGCTGAGTCACTGAGCCCGGCCAACACTCACCACTTTTATTCTTTTTTAAATGTAGGAACTGTGACATCAGAGCTGCACATGCTTTAGTTTAGGATCAGTAACTTGCACATAGTGTCTTAAAGTTCCCACTTGTGACTACTGTAACGTGATAACATTTTTTTGACCATAAGTGGAAATAGCCAAAAGACTGTAAGAGTTTTCTAGGCTTTACATGTGAGATCTAAATTCTCAGACCTAGTAATTGACCAACATCTAATTTGGAGCTTTAGTTTAAGACAGGATTTCTCATTCTGAGCACTGTTGACATTTTGGACCTGATAATTTTTTGTTGGGGATTGTCCTGTGTGTTGTAGGATGTTAGGCAACATTCCTGGCATCTGTTAGGACACAGCCGCTTCCTTTCTGGTGGCGATAGTCAAAAATATCTGTAAATATTGGGTAAAATTGCCTGTTAAACAGTCCCTGATTTAAACTGACCTTTTTTTTCTTTTTAGAGACAGGGTCTTGCTCTGTTACCCAGTTGGGGTGCAGTGGTGTGACCATAGTTCATTGCTGCTTCAAACACCTGGGCTGTAGCTGTCCTTCCGCTTCAGCCTCCCAAGTAGCTAGGACTAAAGGTGTGTGCCACAGTACCTATGAGGCTTCTAACTAGCTCAAGCAATCCTTCTGCCTTGGCCTCCCAAAGTGTTGGAATTACAGGCATGAGCTATTATGCCCAGCCGTAAACTGGCTTTCTAAATTGGTGTGTTATGGGGGGGAATCAAGCTGTGCTGCAGAAGCTAGTCTTAGGCTGCCAGTTGCAGGTTTTTTCCAAGATTTCTATAATTAGTCTTGCCTAAGGAAATAACAAGCCACATAAAACTTCAAAACTTGCCAAAAGGTAGTACAGGATGGTTTTCTTCAGCAGGTTCTGGGTACTCTAGGGTTACAGAGGACAACTGTGTTTACTCTGAGAGAGGTGCAGGCTTTGGACATTGGAAACCTGAGGTTCCTGTGCAATGCGTAGTGGGCCAG